TTGTGTTTTTCAAAAACTTTGATTATGGGAAATCGCCACTGCGCCCGCGTTGTGTGCAATTAAGCCACATCACAGTAAAATTAGGAATGACGCATCATACTCAAACATTTGCGCAGTGTCTCATGTCTAGACGCTGATTTGTATTTTCTATTAACATCGCAAAATAAATTTCTAGACTGAACTGGAAATAAAAAAATGTAGTAAATAACCCCCTTCACTTTCATAAATATTACTGTCTGTAGCAGTATTTTCTCACCTGTTACTTTTCACTTCACCAACCCGGGATTTTCTCTTTCTCGTCTTTTCTTTCTCATTTTTGGAATTCAGCAAATTTGCGTATGTAATTTCCACAATGATTTGACTGGTCTAATTCGAAAGGAAGCTATTAAGGTAACCCCTGAATTAATTGTCATTGTACTTGATAAGGGGTGGGGCAATGGAGTCCGAAAAACAATAACTGTAATCATGAAATTGTTTTTATTAAAACAAATAATGAATACAATTTATCCCTGCAAACAACTAAAAACCAAACAACATGTCACTGCTTCGAGGTATCTTTCTTCCAAACAAATCCTCTTGTTATCAGTCAGCAAAAAGCATATCAGGAGAAAAGTCCAAACTTGTATCTTCCTCCTGATCAGTACTCGTACTCGCGTAGAAGGAATGCTTCCTTTATGCTTTCGACTGAATAGCTCTCATTCAACCCTTCAGTGTCCAGTGAAAGTATCCCTACTGTTTTCCGGTTCGATCAAAGCACCAGTGTTATCCACTACTTTACATGGTTCAATGATGATATTTGCCGAGTCTGTTTGAGCATTGCCGAATAGATCAAACGTTTCCGGAAAAAGTGGTATATCTTCAGCTGCCGCATTGGTCATATCCTTAGTCAGTTGCAATTCCTGAACGTCGCCTACTTTTTCATCTTCGCCTATCACTTGATATTGCAGACCATCCTTCTGAAGATTCTGGAGAGCTTCGTCAGTAACAGTGACGAAACTTTCATCACTGGTCTTGAACAGTATCTTCACACTAGAGTTGGCTTCATTTCCCAATAGATCCTTTATCTTATCAGCAGTAAGTTCTTCAGAGCTACTGGGTATGGTCGACTGAATGACATTGTTCGACACATTTGGGTCAGTGGGCAAAAACCAGCACCAAATCCTACTGTGGGATGCGAGATGAAATTCTCAACTGTGGTCTCTGAGCAAGTTTCGTCAATGATGAAAGTATTAGCATGTGGAGCAGATACGATCTCTTTTGTCAGGTTAGCAATAGCCGATCTACTAGCCTCGGCTTCTTTAACACATGCTCGGTGTTCAGCTTCTATACGGAGCTTTCTATCGTCTTTGTTGGGAATGTACAGATTGCTGGACGAAATTGGCGCAGGGTATTTGGGCTTTTTGGAGAGAAACTGGGGCTTGGGAATCACTATCATGTCGGCTGAAAAAGAAAAAGCAAACGTAAAAGGCGACATTTGAAGGACGATAATCGACTTATGAGAAAGAATACTGCTTTATACAGTACTTCGAAGTTGAGTCATTTATTTTAACAGTGAGTAGATCTGATTAAAGGAAATGTTTTTTTCCTTATCATTTTTCTGGTAAAATTAAAGTAACAAAGTTATAGCCCTTTGGAAGTTTGAGTACCGCCCTGTCTCAATGATAATATTATGTGCTCGTGTTTGGCGACAACGGATATAATCCGCCGTATCGGTTCATCGCATCGGAAACAAAAAAGCGAAAGAATTTTGAACGATGTTTTTACAATTATTTCATTCATTTGTATACAGTCAGTGTCAATGAATAGTGGTATCTGTTGCGTGGCTCAAACGAAATAAAAATGAAACATGTTTAGGCGGATCGGTTTCCCAATCGAGTGCAACCAACCCCTCGTGCCTTTGTTAATGTAGTACAACCGGCTCGTGAATCAGGTGACTTAAGACCTCACAGGGGACCTCACGATCAAATACAGGTCCGCACTGAAATACTTGTCGGGAGGATACTTTATAAAACAAGGTAAAATTTTTTTTTTATTTTTTTTTTATTTTTACACACATATTTTGGTTTATCTTCCTTCTACAATCATTATCTGAAAATTAATGACTCAACTTCAAGGTCACCCTGTATAGTGCAAGGGACCAGGATTTATGTCAGGGGTCACAGGATTTATGTTCAGGAGAATTTTTGTCTCCGGAGGGGAAGGGGTGTGTCTTATTCACTGAGCCATTCTGGGGTTTTGAAGTACAACACCCTTATTATTGTGGTACAGTTTTCTAAATTATGGAACCGTTACTGGTTTACTCGTATTGAAAATTTGCGACCTGAAAACCACGAATATTAAAAAAAAACGGTGGATGTTATCAGAATCAAACAATTCTTGAAACAACCACAGGTAGTATTACAATGATGTAGATGGAACAGTACGTTATAATTTCCAAAAATACTATTTTCTAGGCATTATTATACAAAGGTGTAAAAAATTAGCAATATATTGCGTTTATGGCTCTCTGGCGAGCTAAATGAGTTGATAGTTTTAGTTGGATCATCACTTATGTTCTAACACAGCGTAGCTCAAAACTGACAAGTTTTTAAACGACCAAAATTTCCTATCGAATGACACGCATGATATCGCCATTTTTTGAGTTACGCGATGTTAAAACTTAAGCGGCGATATATACACGTACATATATACACATATATAAGAAAAACATATTTCCAACGCCGTTTCCTTTAGGGTCCTATTTTTCCGGAATCAAGAGGTGTTTCGCAAATCGAGAGGATCAAATATAATAGTTTCAGAATAGTCCCAAGAGTCACACATTAAATGCTTGCCCCATATTTGGGAAACACCATGTTAATGATAAAACTAAGACAATATTATCATACTGAGTAAAAAATAAAAACAGTCAAAAGTATTAAGTAATGCATAAGCTTTTGAGCTGATAGATGAAGTGTGCGAGATTTGATCACTCTTACGGTTAGATAACTTGATGCATACTTTTTATCATCTCCTTTCATTCAGATGAGACTGCTTTTCTCTGATTTTGTCCATCAAAATGTGTTTTTATCAAGTTTGCTCACAGGGTCAAAGGCGCGCGCGAAAAGGATTTTTCTTATATTCCCGTCCGAATGTCTAAATTTTCGATTAACTACCTTATTCACAGAACACATAACGCACTAACGGACATACAGTACTACCAAGCCGAAACATGCAGAAAAACTCTATTTTATTCATATTTGCGTCGAGCAGAACGAATAGGCAACCAGACTTACGCACACTCTTATTTCCACGCAAGCATCGTTGTGCTTACTAATTGATCAGGGTTACCAGGTGTGGTGATTTTTCACCAAAATATCCCTCATTTTGGTCTATCTTTCCACTGCATGTTGCATCCGAATTCGGACTAGGCCGAAGGAGCCAGTCAAGGATTTTTTGTCTCCTAATTTTCATAATCTGTAGTATGTATACTACAAGTGCACTTGACGTAAGTAAATTTTTTGACATCTCTGTCGTTAAATTCATATTTTGCTGTTACTTTTTAGAAGTGCGGGTGTTTGCAGATAATTGAGGTGTTATTAGACGATCTCAAGACATGGTACTTATTCTTAGATAATTTGCAAAGAGCAGCACCAGCCTGCTGAAGGTAGGAATTTCCACCGGTAAGTATTATTATTGTGTTAGTACAATGCGGTCACTTTGTTAGGCATAGGTAGTCAAGTGAGTCAAAAGTATGCACGAAAACTACGTACCTAATTTTGGCGACAAACATATAGGCTTGACTCTTTCTAATATATTAGAATTCGTTGCGTCATCCTAAATCAATTTGAATGAAATTTGAGGAGCAATATGATATGGTCATAGTAGATAACGCTGCTATATTTTTGAAAAAAGTTTTTGGTTGCAGTCAAAAAACTCTTTGTTGTCGCCGATACTTACGCTTCCTCAGAATGTTTCCAATTTTTTATAAATATCTCCAAGCAACTATGTACTCATCTTAAAAACGTCCATCGGGGATACATTTTTCAAGAAATGTCGCTCTTGAGTCATTACTATTGAGTGATAAAAAATAAGCAATATTGTGGTAGTCTTTCCCTTGCGACATAAACGAGACACGTGAAATAAAAAAAAACAGTCTCCAGTGTCTTAATTTGCGAGTACCGTATTTTCGTAGGAGATCCCTATATGAAATTTTTCATAAGACTTGTGTCACTTTTTGCGTTATTCTAATTGCATCCGAGAAATAAACTATTCATGTACGTTGTATAAGACAAAATAAAATTGGAATGTCTTAATGAAATAAATTACCAGGTAAGGGGCAGCCAAGTGTCAGATTTTCCAATGCTTTCATTTGTAATGTCCTGGCTGCCGCAACAAAATATTTGAGATGTTCATCTGATACAATAGTCGATCCACAGTACATGAACTCCACTAAGGATTTCACCACAGAAAACTCACATCCTGTGATCACCACATGGTCGACAGATGAATTTTTATCCAATTCTTCCTATAAAAATACATGAGTCATGATCATGTGTATTTGTGGGAAATATCTACTCACCTTAAACAAGGCACTGTTAGCAGCCAGAACCGCTTTATGAACGTGTAGAACCCTTTTTTCGCAGCAAATGGCTACATCCACGAAGTTCTGCTGCTCCATAAACGAGCACAGTGCAATAGTAGTCTGCTGAGGATGTTGTTTAGACTCTAGACAGTATTTGCTTTGCCAATTTTCAGCCTTCTCCATTTTTTGCCTAAAGATGTCCAATTAAAACGTATATTCGCAGCTACAAATAAAAAAATTGTCTCACTCCTAATAGAATTTGAAGTTGTACAGGTACAATCGACAGTATAAATGCTACAAAATTGCGCTTTTGTGTAAGTAGCTGTTTTTTCTTGTAGCTACCCAAAATCAAATTGAACTGACATTTCACATCGGATTTGCCAACGTCCATACTAAGAATGGCGAAAGTCCCTATATAACACTAGTAAATTATAGTTTAAGAATTGACCACAAGATGTCGCCTTAAATAAAAGCTTACACAGAAATACAAAATAAAACTGAAACAACAAAGGCAATCATCTACTATAAATTTCTTTGCCTTTCAGCCTTTGAGGCCCTTATGTATAATAATCATTGCAATTCATATTTAGTATGGAACCGTCAGTAAATTCTACCGCGCCATCTAGCAACGGCAAGTATTGACTAGGATCTCACTAATTCTTGCTACAGAAAACTGTTTGAACTAATAATGCTACAAACAGAATTAAAGGTTGATTCTCACTATACATTCCGTTCCCATTCCATATCAGTTTCGTGAACGTTCAGAGTACAATTTGATTGTATACACAATATACCTTACGGATAATGTGCATACACACGCAATAGGCTGCTTTAAGCGAAGGCGAATATTTAATTTCAATAATTTACGGAACGGTTACGGAATGGAAACGGAATGTATAGTGAGAATCAATCTTAAGAAATCTCGTTTTGCCACTGAAATACAGGGTGAAAACGAAAAATTTCACGTTTTAGGGCACTGTTAGCCCGCACCCTCTATAAGATAGAAAAAAGGTGAAAACTGCTTAGATAGATACGTCTGCATATTCTATGGCGTGCTCGAAAATAAATCAGAGGCGTCGTTCAAGAGCTATGACCCTAACTTAGTTTTTTTTAATGGAACACCCTGTATTTGCACTTTGAATATGAACATTAATATGAGTATGATATAAAATGAGTGCACCTTGTATTTATGCCCTCCATTAATTGTTATATTGCAGAAAAAAGTGGCACAGGTTCCTGAAACTGTAAGGTTCTATCT